GATATATTTTTCAGTGTACCGTTGATCTTCGTAGTTGGATCCTTTCTTATTATTTGATAAGCATTCCGGTTGACAAGGATACTTTCTATTTTCTCCGTGCACTGTTTCCTGTCCATTAAAACCGTAGCTCCTTTCTTATCCGCCCGAAGAACTATTTGATCACTCTTTTGTAATGTTTGTTTTCCCAAATACCAGCCAATCTGCTCCTGTGTATCGGTTCTTGATGTGTCATGATCAGTAGGATTATTTATAGTTCTATCTCCCGCCATGTCTCTTCTGGATATTTATCAGTTATGTTGACAACTTCCACCAGAATATCACTAAGAACGTTTCCTTCATTACCTAGTGAAAAATGTAAGCCTTTTTCATTAAGAGATCCGTAGTTTCAGAATCAAGAGGGATTGAAGATAGGTTTACTACCTTTGTCCTATCGTCGTCTGTAGCAGTTGATGCCTTCAATAGAGAAACATCAAAAGTTGCCCGGGTTGGCTTGGTCTTGTGCTATCTTATTATTCCATAACTAAGCAATTTCTTTTCATGTCGCTTATTTATCAGATCCCGGACGCTCTGCGACTTCTGGTCGCTCATGCTCTAGAGTCTTTTTTATAAAATCATCCAGTGATAATCCTACCTAAATCATTTCTTAATATAGACTTGAGATCTATGTACTTAAATAGCTTACGTCTCTCAGTCTCGTAACTTTCCTCTAATTTCTTGATGAAGACGTGATAAAGTATTTCATTAACTGTGCACGAATGACACTTCTTCATTAGATTACAGAATCGGGGAGCGATACCACAATGTTTGCAACAATTCAAAAAAGGCCAAATGGCAGGATGACTTACAATTGTATTCTTTGCCCGGCTGTAATCGGTGCATTGTTTAGCAATCTTACTTCCATAGTTTAATTGAAAATATTGAGACCAAGATGGTGTGGCCTTCTGTGTGGTTGCAGTCTCCATTCATTGTATAGAGATTGTTTGGCCTTGTTTTCGCAACTATTGGTAGGAAGACTTAGAGGAACGCACCTAGTCCGGAGTCCATTGTATGCATAATACTTTGCAAGGTCGGACCCTTGGAATGTACCACGTCCAGGGTCCGACTTTGGAAAGTATTATGCATACAATGGAATCCGGAACGGGTGCATTCCTCTAAGTCTTCTTACCAATATGAACAAGTTGCGAAAACAAGGTCAAACAACCTCTATACAATGAAAGAAGACTGCGACCACACAAAAGGCCACGCCATCTTGGTCTTCGTACTTTCGATTAAATAAATACATTTTGTAGTTCAAAGGAAAAAGCTGTTTCATGACGAGATTCCGAGAAGCTTCGACTTATGAAAGACATTCCCGAGAAGCTTCGAACAAATACCCACAAAGTTCAAGGTAAATAGAGTGAAGATATAAAATGATAGGTTAATACGTAGGTGATTCAATTGTTATTGACGTGTTCAAAACATTGCTAAGATTATTGCGGGTGAAAATCTTTCAATTAATCTAGAATCTACTGAGTGATTATGATAGCGCATACATCCATAATGTCAAAAGACTAGCATGATGCCACATATTCAAAACGTGGAAGCTAATGAAGAATTTCCGGTAAAATTTTGTCACTGAGCTACCGAAACACACACATGGACAGTTTCTTACTGGTCCGCAGAATTTTTGATAAAAGTGTGTTATTCTGCCAGGTATAGAGATGAAAAAAATGTAGGTAAAAAATAGGAGACGTAAAGCAATATAAAAATGCCTGGTAAACATAAATAGCTTTAGAAGTAGTTTGACCTCGTTTTAGCAGCTTAGTCGTGTTTTCCGAGCGACTTGGGCGCATCTTGTACGAATTCTTCTGCTATAGTTATTTTTATAATTCTCAGCATCGGACCGTTGACTTGGCACATTCCCAGAGGTTTCATCGGCATTGTCAGTGAGTCTTAGTATTAATGTTGCAGTATCTTTCATTTTGGTGAGGCCAAACAACGAATCCCTTTAACTCGTCTTTTCACACGAAATAAGAGGTACTCCAACGGGATCCTTCGAAGCTCAGTTTTTCTACAGCCTTGCTATTCTCAGCATTAAGCTACAACGCGTCAGAGACAAGTGAAGTCAATCGCTTGGCCAGTTTTCTGTCGAACGGTTATGCTATCACTCCTTTTTCCGTCAAATATAAACAAGCCGGAAGTTGAAAGAGGACGAGGAAGTGGATGGATGCGCCAGGACAGAAAGAGATGTGATAGCATAACCTTTCGGCAGAAGGCTGGTCAAGGGATTGACTTCAATTTTTGTAGCTTGGCGCTGAGAATAGCAAGACGTACTGACGACGCCGGCGAAGCTTCTGGGAATATATTGAGTCCACGGTCCGACGCTGGAGATTATGATAGCGATTATAGCAGAGGACTTTGGACAAAGAAAGGAGACAGCGACCAAAATAGAGACCCCAACATCTTAATTTTCATATTTACCTATAAATATCTTCAAATAAAATTCTGAAGTACGAGATGCATGCATCCTATTTCATTCAAGGTAACAAATGACTGGTAGTTGAATTTTCCATACTCACATCATTGTGGTAAAAATTCAACTACCAGACCTTTACACCTTAAACTAAATAGTGCAAACATTTCATACATATTATCTACCGATAATCCCGCAAACCTAATTATAAACAAAGAATTCAAGTTTCTTTCATGGAACAATAACATCACTCAGAACCAACGATTATGGCTGTTAAAGTAAAAAATGAGGAAATTATTACTCACCTGTATCACATAATTTCCGTACTGGTCCTTGACAAGGGCTTCTGTATATTGATGAAGTTCACTGAGAATAGGCAACGTTTGCTCAGGAGTACAGTGTTCGAGAATGCGCTGAATAACTCGGCAGCCGTAGGAGTGAGTTGAAATTGCATATACCTGATAAAATAATAAGGATGAGTGAGTGTTAAAATCAAAATCGAATTAAAGAATGATCTAATTCATTCCAATTCTTAAAAATCAAAGTCTATATTTAGTGCTTCTCCTAGATTTCATTTGAAATGGCTCTAGCAGGCTCACTTGGCAAATATTTAAAATAAGGAGTTATAAGTAG